AAAAAATTCTACCTTAATGACTTCTGTAGAGCTGTAAGAGATTGTCTTAATTCAACTCTTCTTCCTCTACCCCTCACCGAAAAACATTTTCTTTTCTAAGTCTTTTTATTTCCTCCTCAAAGGGAAGAGTTTTCATATAACCTTTTCCTCTTGTTTTAATAATGTGTATGGGCAATAGCTTGCTAATATTTCTTATACATAGATGGGAAACAACATCCTTAGCTCTTGATCAGAAGAGCAAATTAACTACATAATACAGGAGTAAAAGGACAGTGGAAATATGTAGATCAGACTCCAATGTGAAATATAATAGTAGATCTTCATTTGGGATATGTCAATTTATACTTCCCTAACTCTCATTTTTACTGAGTTAGTTAAATAAACAAACAAACAATCATATTGTGTTCACTGAAAAATAATTGGGGTTAAAGAATAAATTCTACTTGCTGAGATTTTCATAGGCTTAATTTTATCCAATTTTCTGATTCATAAAGAGACCTGGGAGCAGGAAAAAAACTGATACCTCTTTTGAGAAAATAGTTGGGAAAGAACTGACAAAAGACTTAAGGCCAAGGTTCTCAAGAAGTGGAGGCCTGAGGATAGATCTGTACACCTGTGTTTAAGCACCTGAAATAAAGTTGTCCTGATTTTCAAAATCAGCTGAGAACCCACGACTCCCACTGACTTCTGAAAATGAATCAGAAGTGAGGGTAGCTATGCACCTTTATAGACTAACTAATTAAGATATATAGAGGGAATATATGCTTTCATTAACCCAAGTTCTCTTCATCAGATGCTGTGAAAGGACATATAGAAAGCAGAGTATAAGGAGAAAGACATTATAATGCAAAAGAAAATGGAGGGTGGAAGGGAGAGAGGGAGGCAGTACTAGGAGAGAAAAATAAACAAGCAGGAAAACCTTCTGGAAACACAGGTGGGGCAGCACAAAAGCTAATCCAGTTAATGAGATAAAAATCAATAGTCCCTGCTTAAATTTAACAATCCATAGTCCCTGCTAGACTTAACACAGTCTAGGTTATGGATGATTTCTTGTCTGCAATTTCCCATTCAAACTGTTTTTTAATTTTTCCTCCCCCCCCGAAAATGGTAATCTTGAAGTTAGCAATGGAGTGTCCAGGGAGGTTGAAGCATTCTGCCACAGGCTTTTGTGTCTTGCTGCAGCTGAAGTCAGATCTGTGTATATTTGGATACCTAAATACAGCTTTAAAAGCCTAATTTTAAGCAACCTAATTTAGATTAACCTACATTTTTCAGCATCAGGCTCTTCTAGCACATGCACTTTGTTGCCTGTACAACCATTAGTGCATGCCCTTTGGGCATTATGACTTGTGAGAGTAACTGAATTTATCATAAGAACATAAAAACTGCCATTTACTGGGTCATACCATGTCCATTTTGCCCACTATCCTGTGTCACGCAGTGGCAGACAGTGGATGCTGAAAGGGAGATTGAACAGGGTATGACTGCAGTTTTTTCCACTATTCTTCTCTCACTTGCAGCCTGAAGCATTTATGGTCTTGAAAGTTCTGATTCAGAGGCTGTATCCTTAACTCTCATGCTCAATTGCTACTGATGCTGCTTTTCTCCAAGATTTGTCCAATCCCTTTTTTGAATCTGGTTAAACTGTTAGCTTCCATAACATCTGATGTCAATGAGTTCCACAATTTAATTACATGCTGGGCGCATCTACACATACTATTAATGCACATGAATAAACTCCAGAGCTGATTGCTCCAGAGTTTTTTGCTCCTGGGCATGCTGTTTGAACATGTTCCTGGGAGCAAACAAACTCTAGAGCATATTGCTTCAGAGCTTATTCATGTGCAGCACAGAGAGCCCCATCAGAGCAGCCTGGGTTGGCAGGGAGCACCAGGGGTAAGCCTGCAAGCCCAGGGCTGTTCCAGTGGTGCTCTGTGTGCCGCAAAGCAGCTGACTGGGGCATGTGGGTGCTTCATTGTGGGGGCTGCCTGCTTGCTAGCCCACAGTGAAGCACCCTGTGTCCCAGCCGTCTAGAGCACTCAGCTGAGCCAACACTTAATCAACTGGCGTTGTACTGACTTGCTGCCCAGCAAGCCCTCTTATGGGGTCAGGACTGGGGGCTCCTCCACCCCATACCACCACCATGGGCCTCCATAAAGAGTCTGTGTCAGTTCTAGCTCCCGCTGTTAAGCCTTAACATTGGAGCTCCTTAGCAATACCTCCTGGATTTACTACCTGGAATCTCCTGTAGTCTGTCAGCGACTAGGATTAGAAAATGTGGGCAGTTTAAATACTTCTCAACCTCCTCAGGCATGCTTTCCTGGCATCTGATCTCTTCCATCTCTGCTTTCAGCATCCCTTTTGAGCTGCTCCAGAGCTGCTCCAACCAATCAGAGCAGGGCAGAGTCCTCCAGCTGCAGCAGCACTCCCTTTTTGTAATGGGAATCATGTGTTGTGAATTGTTGTCAGGGATCTCCTCTTTCAGGTTCCTTTCAGGATCATACCATCCCGATGAGCAGGAAGACTAGGAAGTACGTCAGAAGACCAGCTTGGCATAGCCCGGAACTCTTCAGTAAACTAAGTCTCAAAAAGCAATCTTATAAGAAGTTGAAATTTTGGACAAATAAATACGGAGGAGTATAAAGGCATTGCTCAGGCTTGCAGAGATGAAGCTAGGAAGGCCAAAGTGCATTTGGAGTTTCAGCTCGCAAGGGACATGAAGGGTAACAGATCATTTATGAATACATGAAATAGCACAGGTGCCAGCACAAATCCTTGTAGGGACCCTGCTGTTTGCTTCTTTCCATCCTGAAAATTCATCATTTATATTCACTCTTCACTTTCTATGTTTAAGCCAATATTTAATCCATGAGTGGAAATTCCCTGTAATCCACCTGCTTTAGTTAAGAGTGTCTGATGAGGGCCCTTGTCAAGGTTTTTTGCAAGTCCAAATATACTGTATCAACTGGAACACCCTGATCTACCTGCTTATCGACGCTCTTAAAGACCTCAAGTAGGTTGGTGAGACATGATTTCCCCAGCAAATCATGTTTATCCATGTGCTGAATTATTATTATTTTTATTATTATTATTATTATTATCATCATCTCCCAGTTTTCGGGGAATAGAAGTTAGTCACTGGCCTATAGTTCCCTGCTTTCCCTCTACAGTCTTTTCTGTGTGTACAACCCAATCCATTTAGGCAATTTCATTTGTGTATATGGCAAACATGGAGATGCTTAAAGTCATTTAAAAGATGTAATGTATCAATACAGAAATCCTTCAAGATTCAGATATGTCTTAGATGTGTCAAAGAAATAACTGCAGAGAGGGCCTGAACCAGCTTGGATTCTGGTAGCATGGAACTTTACAACAGAATTAATTTGTCTTTGCTGACTCCGTGTTGCCATGACCAGCTCGTTAGTAGACCATTCAAATGGTATCTCCAGTATCTGTACCAGATAGAAATATAGACATACCTTTAGGACAGTGATTCCCAGCCTTTTTGTGCCACAACCCACTGCTGGGAGCAGAGTGTGGCGATGGTGGCTCGGGGGCGGGGGAGCTCTTGGCACATGGCACAGCTTAGCCTTTGTGCACAGCACCGCTAGCATTGCCCCCGTGACCTGAGGTTGGGAGCCGCTGCTTTAGGAACTTCCTTCCCCACACGTTGAATTTTAAAAAAGGTGTTTAAGAATTTGTGGACTAAGTACTCACCTTACCCTTGCTTGCTGTATTGATTCAGTCCTTGTCAGGCAAACTTTCATTGGGCCTACTTGCCTTTAGTAGAGCTACTCTGACTTTACATGTCTAGGTCAGAGCATAAGAAAAAGTCAATTGAAGTCAATGGTAGACTTTAACAGCCTTTGCCACAAAGCATAATTGATCTGAATAAGGACTTTAGAATTTTGCTTTGTATGTAGCAAGCATGTTGGAACCACATCATTTCCTACTTTCATTCCTTTACTTTAATTGTCTCTAATTTAATTAGTTTAATTTTTGGTTCATTATAAAATGAGTGGCTGTTTAGCTCAGTTGTTTAGAGCCTGGTGGTAATAACACCAAAGTTGTACGTTTGATTCCTGGTTGAACTAAATCAAGGGTGTCCAACCTTTTTGAATGTGGGGCCAGATCATGAACTTTTTATCACCCAGTGGGCTGGCAAGCCATATTCAAAGACCTCACAGCAAGCGGTATCACATCAAGAAGTGATGTCATGTGACCTTTGACACCAATAAAGTTGCAGGAAGTGACAATGAAATGGGTCTAACCAGTTCAAAACTCTCCCTCTATAGCATCCACCTCTGCCACTATTCGGGATAGGATACTGACCAAGCATGGCACTTTTTATGTTCTTATGTTCTTTGACTGAGCTTCCAAACTGTGGCTGAGATTTGCAAAAAGAGGTAGATAGGCATGTTACAAAGTTGTCGTAAAAGATTTGAAGCCCTCTAAATCCCATTCATTTTAATGGAAGTTGGCCTTTTGACTCAGCTTTGAAAATCTCAGCCCAAGATGCCAACCAAATAAGTCAAAATGAATTTAGTTCAGTGGCTATGATTCTACTTTCTCATACAGAGGCAATGACTCTCACAAAGTATGGCATATTTTAATAGGATAAAAACATTTTGAAGGCCACACAGAAAGCAATAAGCAGTCTTTACTCACATGAGCTTACCAGGTATCAACCACCTGCTACTTGGGTTCCTGGCAGGTACAGACACAAGTTTATTAGCATGTTGTTCCACAGTGAGTCTCTGTGCCATAGCCTATATCAGGTCTCAGATCTAGGGAGCCTGACCCCTCCCTAGCCATAGACTTGTCACGTTATACCAATCTGCTGGCCGGTGCAGACCTGGCCAGGCTCCTCCCATCCCCAGCAGCAAGTGGGAAGTCAGCTTACTGACCAGTTACTAAATAATCTCTTGAGGTTCCTTCCAGCCTTACTCTTCTCTATAATATTGCTTTTAAAAGCCTTTTCTTTCTTTCAACTCTCTTAGGCAGAAGAAGAGAGAGATGATATGGAAAGAGTCAAGCTGGATAATAAAAGAATCCTCTTCAATCTGTTGCCAGCACATGTTGCACAACATTTTCTTATGTCTAACCCAAGGAATATGGTAAGCCCCTGGGTAAAAACAAACACATGATTATATGCATTATTTCTCTGTGTGAGCCTGTATGGTATAAGTCATGATAACTACTTCTACTAAAAAAATGGCACCACTATGTTGAAACTTGCATTAAAGTACATAGGTCATGCACTTCCAATTAACCTTCTCTGGTTCTCTGGGGCCACAGGATATTGAGCTGGCACAGTGCAGTACTGGCTGGCAGAAGGTCCAAGGGGGTCAGCCTGCCAGCCAGGAGCTGCTCCTGCCTGGTTCAGTGTGCTGTGTAGGAGCTGGCTGGGGCATGAGAGTGCTACGGTGAAGAGCTAGCTGGCAGGCAGCCCAGCACTGTAGCACCCTCATGCCCAAACCAGCCCTGGTCACCATCTGCATATGCATTGCAGTAGAGTAAATAACTCCACCGTAGGATAGTACTTGTGTTGGGCAGTACTATCCTATGGTAGAGTTAATTAGTTTACTCCAGCCTAATATCACCGCTTGTGTAGATGGTGATACTTTACTGCTGTGCTAATTAGGCAACTGCAGTAAGTGCACCTCATGTAGATGCACCCAGTTTCTCCTAGGAGAGTCTCTGTTCTCCCAGGCTTTTTCTCCTAGAGTAAAAATAGCTACTTCAAAAGAGAAATACTGTGGGAACACCCAGGGTTAAATCACTCCCAAGAGAATTTCTCCTAGGAGAACAAATTTATGTACATGCTATGGCTTCTCCTGGAAGAAGCCATAGTCCTCCAGCATCTGCCCCACCCCTGCATCCCCAGAGACTCTGTGTTCCTTGCTATTCTCTGCTGTTCCAGCTGGGAGCAAAACAATCCCACTTCCTTGTCCTCACATTATGGTGCTTCAAGGAAACACAGGCTGACCATGGGCAGTCTTGCACAGTGCAACCTATGCACTGCTGCCATCTATTTTCAGGCAGAGTAAGGCAGCCTGCAAAGCAAGCTGAGATGTATGCACAGGATCTCCCACCCTGGCTGCACAGTGTCAGCGCTGCAAGCTCTCCACTCTTCAGGGCCTCCTCATTTAAATGTCTGTCCCTGTGTAAGTTTTTCTACCAGGAGAATAAACCTGGCAGAATTCTCCTAGACTGTGTACATCGCCTCCAAACTGTAACAGCCAAAGATTGCAGTTACACATCTAGGGAAATCAGAAGGCTAGATAGGTTTGCACCATATAGACTAACTAAATCAAATGCATAAGCTTTCTTAAGTAACAGCTTCTTTCCTCAGATGATTGCTTCATCAGTGCCCCTTTAGAGGACAGAATGGGCAATGAACTTGCACAGTGTTTCCTTTTTCTTTCTTCACATGTTCCAAACTGCCATCTCTCAAGTATTGCCTACACTTGCCTTGAATTTGGACTCTGCCCCACCATAAGAATTTCACACCATAGTGTCAAAAGACACTTTTTCTACTGCATTTAGGGCTCCTTTCTTCCTTGCCAGTAGAGAAAGGAATGAAGCAGTGTTCATCTCATAAGGGTAAAAACTTGTTCCATCCATTACTTAAAGGACAGAGTCTGACAAAACGTAATAGAATTTCTCTTTAATAATAGGAAGCTTGAGCTCTAACGTTATTTAGGTTTTCTAATTTTCTCCCAAATGTCTATTAAGCACTATAAAATGTAATTCTACTGGAAATAAATAGTAATGTCAGTTGATTTGATTTAAATTGATTTAGTAGCTTGAAAGATTATTTGATGACTTGTTTTGTTTGATGACTGATTTCTCATGTTACACAGCACTGAAATTGAGATCATAATAATACCATCTATTTATGCTAATCTCTAATTTTAAAAAATTATATCATTCAAAAATTGCAGGATCTTTATTATCAGTCATATTCACAAGTGGGAGTGATGTTTGCTTCCATTCCAAATTTCAATGATTTCTACATCGAGCTGGATGGTAATAACATGGGAGTAGAGTGTTTACGCCTCTTAAATGAAATCATTGCTGATTTTGATGAGGTAAGGTCAAAACTCTTTCCTTTGATCTACCATGCTTCTTCCAACAGATGACTGTGGAAATTCAGCTTAGTTTGAATGTGCTGATAAAGTGGCTTATGTTTTCAATGGAAATTAGATGCCTATTGGGACTTTCCAAGGTTCCGATCTGCAGCTTTATGCCTGCAAAAATTACTGAACAATCATTTAGGGGCCGATGCTGCTCCTGTGGAACTCACTGGGAATATTGCCACTGATTTGAACTGTAGCAATCCTGGGTTTATAAAGAATGAGTCGGTTTAATCAACTGTAGTGTGCACATGTTATCTGATAACTGGTTTCTTGTCTAAAATATTATGTAATGTTTAACAGTTTTGTGTTTTAAACAAAGCTTATGGACAAAGAATGTTATAAGGACATAGAAAAGATCAAGACAATTGGCAGTACTTATATGGCAGCTGTAGGACTTGTACCAACTACAGGAACTAAGGTGAGTTGATTTTCATGAGTACTGAAGGGCTGCACTCTGTGTGCAAACAATCCTAATTCAATCTCCAATGGAATATCTAAAACCATGCAAAATTAAAGAGGCATGTAGCAATCATTTGATTTCTTTGTAACCATTTGCCTTTCTTTTAAATCTAAACACCAAACCATAATTCAGCACACTAAAGTATGTTTAGCATAGTATTCTGGGAGTTACCCACCTGGCAATGACCTAGGATTTGATACTTTACTACTGTGTGTAGTGTACTTATTTCCACCAGTAAAAATAAAGTGGGGAATGTTACCAAATCAGAATGTCAGTGTAAATAAAATAATATAAAAAAACAAAAGAAACAAAAAAGCACACAGGCATGGAGTAAGCACAAGCACAATGCTTTTTTTTGCAATTCTGCTTCCATCAAAACTTACCAGTCTTGTGCCTTCACTGTACCGTGGCCTTCCAGACATCACTGCATTTAAATAGGAAATGAAGTGAAAATGATTTCAGAGTCACCAGGTTACGGACATAGTTCTGATCATCCCTTCATGTATATAGGTAGCTTGTATAACCACATACATATATTGCTGATACTCTAGTCTTCTTCCCCTCACTTTTGCTTCCTGTTTTTTGAGTCTTGTTTAAAAGTGCTTTGTAAGCATGTGAAGGGCAGGGACTTTGCCTCCCCAAGTGTTCCTATATCACCTCCTATGATAAGGGGATCCTCTAGGAAAAATATCACAATAAATTGCACCATGGGAGCATGGGGCTAGAGTACAGCTTATAAATCAGAAAGCATGGTGCATTCATTTTTGCCCACAGCTGGTAAATATCCTCCCACAACCTGAGTGAGCTAAAATTTATTTGCAAAATAACACTACAAAGGGGGGTGGGGGTGGGGGGAGGTAGCAGGCGGTACAGCACAAGCAAAAAGGGCCAGTATGTGGCCCATGAACTTTTTAGAGACAATTAACCTTGTTAAGTAAATAAATAAAAAATAAAAAACCCAAGGCTACATCTAAAACAAATAATAGGATCAATTTGGAATATATCCCATGTAATCAGTTCTCTGTGATTGTAGGTTTCTGTCATTCATGCCTTTTTGCCTTTCCCAATATGTACATTTTTTGTTAAAATAGTATCAGTGCAAAATCCATGCATCAGAATGTCTTTTTAAAAGATGTGCTTCTGTTAAAATGGTTGACTCTACATTGGGTCCTGAGACGGGCAAAATAAAAAGGATCACCTCAATTTTATATCAGTGTGATCTCGGGCAAACAAGTTGAGGCATACTGGTATGTCTGGTATAAATGCTCTTTGAACTAGAATCCCAAAAACAAGTATGTTATTGGGTAACTCTAGCAACATACGTTCCAAAAGTGAATGCGTTTGTCTCATGCATTTTATGTTTGCTAACTGAGGGGTCATCTGAATTAGCCTGGTACTGAAAATATTCATTACAGTGTTATACTAGTAAAATGGTTAAAAATATTGTATAAATTCCCTTGCAAGGCCTTGTCATTCTTTGAAACTATGGGACTTGTTTTGATTGTTTCCCTATTGAAAGATTTTAATTAATGTTCCGCTTTGTAAAGAGTCTTAGCAAGCTGCCTGGGAAGCAAGAGACCTTAAAGACTAACATTTTGGGCAACTAGAAGTTCAGTTATTCTCTAGTCCCTTTCTAAAAAGGGAATAGTAACTACCTGAACCTTCCCTGATGGGTGTATCCTGCTATTGAGCCTCAGAAGGCAGAGATTTTGGGTGTCCAGCACTCTATATGACTCCTCTTCCTACTTCCATCATCTAATACTGAAGATGTGGAAGGAATATGGTAGTCCTGTTAACCTACAGTTTTTTGAGGATTATTATTAGCTGATGTTAATTAGTGTAGTCTCTAGGTAGCTGTCACTTATGCTGATTCCACAGCAGAACCAAAGAGAGAATCAAAGGAACATAGTACTTCTTTCCATTTCTGCTATCCAACCAGATCACAGTTACAACAGAAAATCTGGTTCAGCTAGACATTTTGTTTGTGCCTGAAATTGATTGTGGGTAAAAAATTGTGGACATGCTCACCTCAAATAAGACTGTTTAAACACCTCTAAACCCGGTAGTTAGCTACCTACATCCTATTTATTTACCTGCTATTATTTTGAACCTCTGGCTTTGTTGCAGCAGTTGATTGTAGAAAAAAAGTCACACTGGTTTTGAAGAGATGTTCTGTGACAGTCACTCCTGCGATCATTTCTCCCTCTACACAATTAATCTTCAGAATAATTGCTTGTCATTCACAAAATTTGGGCAACATTTTGTCTCCCAGACCCACAGAGATCAAGATTGTGTGTGTGTGTGTGTGTGTGTGTGTGTGTGTG